CAATATTATGCATAGCTGACAGCGTCGCAAGGGCCATGGTTTAAAATTGGAAACAATTCAATGGAGCATATGGCTACCCTTATTGTATGCACAAGGGTGAAAAAATTAGTGTGGGAAGAGGATTTTCTCGTATTTATTGTTATGCACATTTAAGAGATCGTTCGACTGTTGAGTATAATAGACACGTAGAACTTGTTGTGCAAACGAAAAAAATTGTAAGGGGTGTAAAAGGGCCTTCTATTATTTCGCTGATTTCAGGTATGAATGTAATACGAGGGTGGTCCGATAAGTACTTAGCCTACAAAAGAAAAACGAAAATTTTGGAAAAGTTGCGTTTTATTTTTCAACATAGTCTCCTTTTAGTTTGATACACTTGGCCCAGCGATGCTCCAACTTCTTTAACCCGTCTGAAAAATACATTTCCTCGAGGTCTGAAAAGTAGGCTTCCGTGGCAGCGATTACCTCCTCATTCGACTCAAATTTCTTTTTTCTTTCACTTTTTTCTTCGCCAAATGGGGCCGTTTTTTCTACAAGTCGACGTTGAATTGGCCCAATAATTCGGCATACTACAGCCCTGTGACCGTTTTGCTCCTCTTGAGGTAGTCGATGTAGATCACACCTTGTGAATCCCAGAAAACGGTGGCCATCACCTTTCCGCCCGATGGGGTAGTCGTCGCCTTCTTCGGAGCACTTTCGCCGGGTAAAGTCCACTGTTTCGACTGTTCCTTGGTCTCTGGTGTATACCAGTAGATCCATATTTCGTCGAAACGACGCAGAAACTCCTTCGGATTGCGCTTAAACAGCGTCAGACATTGCTCTGAAGTTGTCTCACGGTAGCGCTTATTGTCCGGTGTGAGCAATCGCGGCACCCATCGCGCCGACAGCTTTCTCATGCCCAAAATTTCATGCAGGACATGACCCACGCGGTCTTTTGAGATGCCTACGATCTTAGCTATCTCGCGCACCTTCAATCGTCGATCTGCCAATACGAGATCGTGAATTTTTGTTACGTTATCCTCCGTGGTAGCCGTTTTCGGAGCACCTGGACGTGGCTCTTCAAAAATCGATGTGCGACCACGTTGAAACTCGTTAAACCAATTGTTGACGGTCGCCATCGAAGGAGAAGAGTCACTGTACATAGCATTCAAGCGCTTTTTGATTTCGCTGCGCGATTTCCCTTCCAAAAACAGTAATCGAATCACCGACCGATACTGCTCTTTTTCTATTTTTCAAAAATCAACGGACACACTTTCTTTCATACGCTCTCAAAAATAAACTACAACTCCGATCCGGCTGAAATCTTGACAGTAACCATCGAGAAGGTTGTACTACGTGACAGAATATTTCTTTTGCGAGAGTGGCGCCATCGGGCGGTGAGGCTAAGTACTTATCGGACCACCCTCATAAATTCATGTCCGCCAGAGTACATGCATAGTTGCCTGCTCGGAGTTGTAAAGTTGTTTGCCAATGCTTGGTTTGATTCTAAATATCATAATGAGTCTTTATCTTGGATCATATATTAAACAATTTAATGAAAAGCTGTTGCATGTACAACCTTCATCAGAGATCACCCACTCTCCATGACCTATTACTGATGCTTATAAGGCGAACGAGCTGAAAAATTTTGTTTTATATTATTCAATACCCTGCTTAAAAGGACTCATGGTAAATACATATTTAAAACATTGGAATTTGTTAGTATTTGTACTGCATATATTGCTACAAGAAAAAAATTAATAAAAATGACTTGAAATTAGCAGAAGATGCAATTTAGTTATTTGTTAAACAAGTTGAATCATTATATAAGAAGAAATTTTTAAGATTCAACGTACATTTGCTCTTGCATTTAACTAATTTTGTTAGATTGTATTGGGGGTCTGGTCGGCATTACCTTTAGAAGGTTTTAATGGCGTTATCAGGCATTTGTATTTTGGATCGCAGTATATACCTTTCCAAATGAATAAACTGTATTGTAGATTGAGACATTTGAGAAATAATTATCTTATTTTCAATAGAGAAGGTGTGAATCGACAAGTATTGGCATTGTTTTTAAAACTAGTTAACCAATGTAAAGTTAGCAATTGTATTGAGTACGGTAATGATTTAAGAATATTTGGTAAGCCAGTAAATGTTACATTATCTTAAGTAAATATTACATTAAGCATGTTATTGAACAACTACTAGGATATACAGTAGATGAAGTCTGCCGAGGTTTTGATAGATTTATCTACAAACATGTACTGTTTCATTCGACAAACTACAGAAAGCTGAGAAAAAGAAATAATAGTACAATTCAAACTCAAGAAGGAATATTCATAAAGGTATCACTCCTACTTATAGTTACTGGTGGATCAGAAATTATACAAAATTTTATTATAGGTGTAAAATTAACAGCGGAAAATGAAATTTTGTGCAAGGATTAAAATCCTATATTTAGCTCGGGAAAATATTCTTTTATTATCAGAGAAACAGCAACCGTATTATGTTGTACGGTAGAATAAATCAAAGCAAAATGTATTGATATTGCTCATTCAATCTCTGATAAGAGATGTCTGTTTGTTTTGGTAAATAAACTAGAAACAGATTGAAAAATTTTAATATTAACTTATTTTAGCCCATTCATTAAAAAATTATTTCAAATAAGCTTTACTACGTGTATTACAATAAATTATAAATAATATTTTATTAATTGTGACGGTAAACGTCTTGTTAGCACTATCGCCTCAACCATGCGGCTGCCTGCAAGGGCAGCACCTACTGGTTGGGGAAAATAGAAAAAGAGGACTCGGTATGAGACGGGACGGAACGCGCGCGAATATAAAAGAACCAGTCGAGGATTAGTTACCCGAGCATTCGGCTGCAGTTATCAAGCCATCAATTATCTAGAGTTTTCCCGAGTGTCCGAGTGCTGAAACGAGCCAGCTAAATTGTACCGATATCGACGAAAACTGTACTTTTGTCGTCACCGTTGTGAGAGTGCGAGTGTGTGTGAGTGGAAGGTTTCGCCATCGAGGACGAAACCGAGAGTGCGAGACACCTCGTTCAAAGACTGACATCCCGGAGGCTGATACACGAACTTTCTCCCTCCTTTGTTAATAGTACGACCGCTAATAAGGTAAGCTGGCCAGCTTAGTATCGCGACTTTTCATATGACTGTGCGGAACGAATTATTAATCCCTCGTACTCTGTAAAAATCGACAGCGTGCATGTATTAACTCTGCGGATAAAGAGCTACGGACGCTCCGGCTCTGCATGTTATTGACGCGCGCGCGCTTCGTAAACATAAACACACGGGCCAACTATATTGTAGAGAATAACCAAATAAACTAACTCGCATGCGATTCAAATTATAATCTCACAGTTGTTATTTCTAACTAGTAGCAAGTTATTTGACTGACTCCCGTCCCCTCCTGCTCTCAGACTACTGAATTTGAACATCTCGATATTACCGCGCGCATCTGGATACGATTGCGCGTCGAACGAATAATCGGAATGAAACGGAACATTCACCCCGTTACATAATAAATTATTATAATAAATTATCAATAAATTAACAGTACTTATTAAAGTGAAAAAATTTATTTTTGATTAGAAAAAATTCTTGTAAATATCATTATAATATTGAATTTGTACCCAAGCTTAATAGGTAAATAAACGACTGATCCAGCTAGTAAATATTATTTAAAAATAATTTATATGTATTCCAATAATGAATAGAGAAAAAATAACGGAAATATAAAGAAATTAAATTTAAAAATAAAACTCTACAATGTGTCGCGGCAAAACTAAATATGATAACTTTTCTTATTTGATTTAGATTGATTGAAAAACTACACGAAGAATGTACTTTTAGCAAAATGGTGCAGTACAATACTTTGCACTAATTGTCCGAGGATTTTTGAATCAGACTTACCATGAAAGGTAGATTGGTAGAGAAAGACCAGTTAATTAGCCTCCTAACTTCTAAAGAATCTAAGGCTTACTAAAGAATCTTGGTTTTGATGAGAGATGTAAGCAAATGGAGGTAACTTTGAATATTTGCTTCATGGTTAAAACCGTCAGAGGCAAGAGGACTCACTTTAATCAAGCACCACAAATGGAATACAATCTTTTTACATTTATGTCGTTGTTCCTGAGTAACGATAAAGATAGGATAAGCATATCATGTTATTTGATTTTGAATTAACCTTCTCCGGTAGATCCATTAAAGATAAAGCAAACTTGAAATATTATTTTCAGTGTAATTATTTCTGATTGCAAAATTTTAAGAAAAGGTAGCCTAAATTAAAACCGCAGACTAGAATTCATGCAGTAGACCTGAAATTTACCCTACCTAAATATTGAAACCACCTCTATAAGGTCGAGAATACCTCTATCATTGTAAAAAATTATAAAGTATGAAAAAATCAAATTTATAAGGAGAATCACGAATAAATCAATATTAAGCAATATATCCCTAAAATAGACGTGAAACTTACTCTCACTTTCTAAAATTACAAACGAAATGAAAAGTTGCTGATGACATAGTTTTTACCTCTTCTTGCAAATGGAACTCAATTTTACAATACCAAACAATTTTTCCCTAGTATAGAGTAATATGTACAGTTGGAATTATTTGTTCAGTAAGACTTAATCACATAGAAAGGTTTATTTATGTACACGAGAAGAAATAGACCGTGAAGTACGCTACAGCTAGACAAATGGTAATCAGATTCTACTGAAGACAATTGTAATAATAGTACAATAAATTATTTGTTTCTTTAATTTCCTTAACATAGTAGTGTAATTTACTTCTATACAAAAAAACTTGAATAAATTTTACTTATAATGTTTTTTTTCAGTCTTAAGTTCTTTTTTATAGTCCAGAGAATCAAACTAGAAATTATTATAGTTCCTCTGCTGAGTTAGAAAATTTTGTAGGATATGTTTATATTTATTATATACATTTATGTAACGTATGTATATTTACTCTGGTTAATAAATAAGTAAAAATGGCTTACCTATTTCAGATAGTAATGCATATGCAATATGACGATGACTTGTTTTTTGATAAACTAACCCAACACCCATCAAAGCAGCAACTTGAACGTTTTGTTGTACATTTAATTCGATACTAGTGGGCGGTAATAAAGTTTCAACATGCAGCGATAGCAATTTTGTCATTGAAACATCCATCGATGACCTATATGTAGCCGATAAACCTAGCAATAAGCCAACACTAGTTGTTTCATGACACTCAACTAAATATTCGTACATACTAAATGGAGCAAGATTTTTAAGATGTCCATTTAATCCCAAAGCCATAAGGAAGCCAGAATGCTCTATGCCTAATTCACTTTGATGCTGTTTATTATAAACAATCCAGGTAGAATCAACATTTAAAGCAGAAGGATGAATACATAATCCTGTAGCAACGCCGTTATGAAATAGAGGCCACAAATTCATATTAGGCGGAACATCAATATGAGTCAGTTCTACAGTTGTTCCACGTGGTGGTGCTTTACCTGTAATAACAAAATATTATTAAAAATTAATAATTAACAAAAAATTAGCTAAATATCATAATTAATTCTACAATGATAACAAGAATATCTTTTTACATTCGAAGACAAGATGAGTCTAAATAAAGATGATTACAAATTAAAAATATATCTTTTTATCACTTATTTTTAGTGATAAAAAGATATAGGATCATGAAAAAATTTGAAAATCATTAAATGACGATAATTACTTCAAATTTAAACATGATAGCAAAAATTTAAACCAAACAAATATTCATTTAGCCAAAGCCTATGGCTTTCCAAAAAATCATTAAGCAAATAATCGACTTACACCTCTCATCTCTACTATAAATATCCCTACTAATATGTTAGCCATAATAATAGATAAAGATCTTAAAGAATGTCTTAAAAAATTAGTCTTTTACATGAATAACAGTTTTGAATTGAAAGAAAAATTAAGAATTTTCTTCTGAATACATTTTAATTGCTCTAGATGTAGTTTTCTTATTTACGAATAATCCTGAAAAATTGATGATCGATAGTTTAGATGAACAGTTTAAATATATTCATGATTTCTTTAGAATCCCATTCACCACCATTGTTGATACTATAAAGTTTTTATCTAACCACAGATTTTCGTCATGTCGATGGGCCTATCTAGGACTCCTGATTTCTTTCATGGTGTTGCGATGAGCTACAGCAGTGCATCAAGCTATTTAGTGATGATGATCCACAGCAGTTCTCCAGACATACATCAGGCCCCGGAACATTTCCAAGCTGTAGCCGGATCACGATCTAATACTGTGAAAAGTGAACACTCCGATTCCGCGTCCTCGTCCATTTTAATCGTATCATACGTTTTATCTGGATGAGTCGAAAAGAGACTGTCAGCGATTCTTTCCATCATATCTACATCACTCTTCATATGTTCGTAGTGGAGTCATCCGTATTAATAACCCGTAACATCTCGGGACGAGGAGCCTGGGTCTAATTCGGCTGTTAATGTAACCGATTTTAATTTGACTATTGTGGCAGGGAATTTCGGAGGTGTTGACCGCGCTCCGAGTTCTTCCGCCACAAGGCCTGTTTGGCTCTACCCCCGATTATTTAGGGCACCAGACCGTCGGCTGATTACGGCGATCGTCGGGGGTAAGGCCAGTAGGGTTACGCGTATCCCGGTCTGCCTAACGGCGACTGCGCAGAGTAAGCAGATGGGGGGAATACGCGTTGTGTCCGAGCTTCAGGCCTTTGGTGTCCAACTTTCCTTCGGTTTCTCCTTGACTAGAGTACGCCGGCAGCTCAGATGATGACTCCTTAAGTCAGGTCGTGAGGACGTTCGAAATCGCGCGTATTTTACCTAACGAATAATCCGAAAATATAGCGAATTAATGAAACCCGTATGTAACCGCTCGCGGCTGAAAATCGCTAGCATGCAACAGGGGTAGGTTATCCAGTAAATTTTATATATATAAATATAAAGATAATTAATCGTTTTATTGATGCATTAAAAGTTTCTCACATACGAGGTCGGAATAGATATGGTCGGTAAAATTCTGAGTTTTCATTAATCCCTAAAAATACAATTTAATCGGTTCCTAAAATGGCGGAAAGGTCAGCGCGAGTAACAAATCGCAATTTTCTTTTATAAGACCTAACGCTCAAATTCGGTTTGCGAAATGGCGGAAAGGTCAGCACAACTAATTAGTCAAAACAATTTAATTCAATTGAACCTACGTTTGTACTAAATAACTAACGAAAGGTCAGCGCGAATACTAAATTGCAATTTTCTTTTGTAAGACGAACTTAATAAATGTGACGAAAGGTCAGCGCAAATACCAAGTAGCGATTTTCTTTCATAAAACGAACACTTAATAAAAGTCGACGAAAGGTCAGCGCGAATACTAAGTCGCAATTTTCTTCCGTAAACTCTACACTCAATAACTAGTAAACGAAGGGTCAGCGCGAATCCTAGATCGCAATTCCCTTTCGTAAACCGAAAACTCAATTTATATTCACGGAATGGCGGACAGGTCAGCACGATCCGATAGGCACCGGCGTCGACGGATCCACGCGTCGCGACGACCTACGGCACTGAACGATTGATCCCCGCACTCCGCGATTAATTAAAAATGAGTGTCACTTTGCCTACTTACAAATTTTCCTTGCGGTATTAGCAAACAAAATTGGCGGGAGGAGTATGACTGGCGTCTAGAGCTAATAATCTGGCGGCAAGAGTATTTGGCAGAGGCTCCTTCTCTCGAGAGATCCAGTGGCAAAATGGACGAGAATCGGCTTCTCGCGGTCAAAGATCGTTTCTCTTCTCCTCTTTCCGAGAAGAAATGTTATTATTGGTCGGTATGCTAATTCGGATATCGGTAGCGCCCTCCGAATTTTTATCATTGGTCCGTATGTAAATTAGAATAATACAGCGCCCTCCTTAACTCTCCTACTTTCGTCGTTATTTACTCTCTCTCACCCCCCACTAAGGTATCTATCATTAATTGTCGGAAAAGATCTACCCCTACTCTTATCTATTCGTCTATGCGGACGGAAATCAAATTTTATTCTAATTTGCCTATTGGTCGTGACGTCACTAGCGAATTTTGTCAGATGTTCGAATTCGGTTAGTTAAATTATCATTTAAACCTAAAGGGAGTAGTTGTCGCTCGCCATCATAATAGGGGTGTCGATCGCGTGCGAATTTTAAAATTCGATATTTGTTTCGTGTTCATTCTTTTTCAATTTATAATTTAATTTTAATATCAGAAATACGTATATAATATACGCCGTTTCATTTGTAGCGCCCTCATCTTCGCATTTACATATTATTCTATTATTTTATATCGTTTGTCTCGCTCGCTCTTGTTTCGTCTATTTCGCTCGCTCTGTCTCGCTCGCTCTGTCTCAGTCTGTCTCGCTCGCTCTTGTTTAGTCTGCTTCGCTCGCTCTGTCTCGCTCGCTCTGTCTCAGTCTGTCTCGCTCGCTCGCTCTCAGTCTATATCGGCGCTTCAAGATGGCCGCTCAGTTTCTCGCGCGTACGCCTCGTGTCCTTGCGCCGGTTGTTGGAGCGCCTCCTGGGGCGCTCCCGTGTCGGTTCTGTGGTGTTGTTCCGGGTGTTTGTGTGTGTGGTCGCTGATTTTCGTGTGTGTGGTCGCTGATTTTCGTGTGTGTGGCGCTCAGGATGTCGCCGATGGTGTTCGGCAGCCCGACACAGCTGATTGCCGGCTGCCACTTCATCGGCGATTTTCTGCTCGCCCCAGGAGTGTCAGTGCCTCGTGAGTGTTCGTGTTAGTGTCTGGGAGTGTAACGGATCTGCATGTGTCATCAACATGCATCTCCGTTGCATTTCCCAGTCAGGTTTTGCATTTTTCTTTTGCCGGCCGGCAACACGTGGTCGGGAGTGTCTGTGAGTGAGTGTGTGCGTGCGCTCTCTTTTTCTGTGGTGCACTCCTTTTTTTTTGTCTGCTCTTTGAGCGTCCGTCGGATCGCGTTGGGCAAGTTTGTTTCGCCCATATCTCCGGCGTGGTCGTTCGGACATGGAAAATAATAATTGTTCGGTATAGGGCGTGTTTAGCTTTATTTTAAACAACCGGTTACGGGGCGGCAAGGGACGGGGATGGCCTTTCTGAGGTGTTGCAAACAATCCAGCACTCAGGAAAGGCCTTGTAATGTGCCACATTACACTATTCTTGAGTAAATTCTCTGTTTTTTCCGGGCCAAACTCGCATACTACTAAAGCCTGCCCACGATGGTTCACCTTAAAGACGTACATGTTTCTCCCAGTGTCAGTTCCGACAGCGCAGCTGATCATGTCTCTAACGTCTTTTGCATTTATCTAAAATCCATAGATTTCAGTGTCACACTGGAACTCATATCATTCACTATAATGATATTATCCAGTTCGTTGCGTAGTACCTCTCGGTTTTACCTAACAGTTTTCGTCCTTCGTCCTGTCAAGCTGTAGAAGTATCGATTCGTCTTTGATTTTCTTATAGCTTTAATGTCTACTTTGCTGTCCGTTGGGTTCAAGTACTGATGCAAAGTCTGTACAATGTCTGCGTATGTCTTGTCCTCGGCTGGTTTGTTCAGCATTGCGCTTCGCCTTGGTTTTAGGTTCGGGCGACCTTGCGTGCTTTATGTACTTTCATCCCGGTGTACATACTTCTGTTTCTATTGATCTCAGTTTTAGTAGCAGTGTACCGGTTCTTCCATTTGGACACCATCACCCAAATATTCTTTGTCAACATCGCTCATTGATTATAGATTTCTGATTCAGGGCTTGGAGTTAATCTATCTGCTTTTTTTTAACTTGCGGTATCGACGGTTCTTTATCTGTCCGTATTCGTTCGGTGGTCAACAGTTACCTTTTACGTTGAAGCTAATGCGTCGCCACCTCTTTCGCTTCCTTGATTTTGCTTATCCCATCCATTATTACTCGACTTATATTCCTTTGCATGTTTGTCTCCATCATCATTTTAACTACATTGCTGCGTATGGCGAGCAATTGCTCTTACAACTTTCTCTCGACAGCCTCGTTGCTGCAGGAAAATTGACGTCATGAAAAACGTTTCTAGTAGGCAGTGCTTGGTAATTGATTTCTACCAAGAGTAATGTCACCACACTCAAGACTAGCCCATCAGAGCAATATTACTTTATCATAATAATGATTTGAAAATTGTTAAAAATATATTAATTGATAATGATTATTCAGCCGGGTTCATTAATTCTTCTATTAATTATATAAGAAAGAATATTACTTACAATAAATTAAATACCCAAATCATAATATGAAACTAATTTTCGCACTTTCCTTGCTATTCCATAAAAAATTTTTTTATATCTGCAAATAGTTAAAAAAGTTCAACATCCATTGTGCCCCACTAGTATAAGCTTAATAATATTGTAAAATTAGGGACAGATTTATCACAAATTAGGATAAAATAAGTGTAGTTTATAAATTTCAATGTAATAATTGTCTATTAATACATTGGTCAAATTAAAAG